TGGTGAAGTCACCACACACTCTAGATAATGACCCAAAAAAAAGAACAAAGAAAGAGTGAACTGAACTGGAAACTTCTTCCATGATGGTTAGCATTCATAGTGCCAGAAGGTGCTGTGCAGGCTGTTGAAGGAGAAAAGTCACAATGATGACACCCAACCATAGAGCTTGTGTGCTACAATACTGAACTGCCTGCCAAGCTATGCCCACTGGTGCAATCATGGCATAAATGTCTTCCAGTTTATGTCTTTCAGTTGGAGCATACAGTCTGAGCATATTTGGCATAAATACTGACAAATCTAAGTCGTTGTAATAGTTATTAGAGCTTCCACAGACCAGATGTCTAGCTTGAACCATGTGTTCTGGCATTTGTAGAGACCACCTGTCTGAGAGCAAGGGGTGGTTTCTTCCGAGACGTACTGTCCCGGCTTAGAGATGACTATTATATTCCTTTGTCTTCGTAGGGTCTCCCTTCTGAGTCTGTGCCCTTATGCTTTCCCCTTAGAGAAAAGTAATTGTTAGATTAAAATCCCACCCTAATGAACACATTTAGCCTTACACAGTACCTACTTGCCTAATTCTACTTGGATCCAGGTTCTCAGTTGTTGAGAGTCACAACCTGCACAAGTGAATTTGGGGACACAATTCAGGCCATAGTAGTCATAAATATTCTAGTCACTCTTTCCTTGTTCCACATGTCTTTTTCCCCTCTTTGTGTCCTCTTGGCTTTGAGGGTAGGAATGGGTTTTTACTGTCCCATCTTTTCTCTATTAATGTGAAACAATACACACATCAATCTTTTAGTGTCACACATGTACTCTGAAATTATCAAAAGCATAGGACAAATGAGGTCTTTATACACTTTCTAGAAACTGCAAAGACCTTGGAACATTTTAACTCTATTTACCCCATCTCTTCATGTTTTGGTTGGCCTATATTTCAGTTCAAAGTACATTTTGCTATTATTTATCATGTGATTAATATTAATTTCTATTTGTTTGCATATTATTCCAAGAAACAAAACTATTTGTTTCCTTTATTTCTTATACTATCCTGTACATACATGAAGAGCTAGCCAGTAAGGGACAAGCAAGGCCAACAGCTTCATAATTAATATAGCCTCCTGTGTGTTTATTTGGGACTAATGCGGCTCTGGAACCAGGCGGGCGGGAAGACTCCTCTCAAGGAAAGCTTCTCTTAACATAATGGTGATCAGGAGTGGGATCATGAATTTCCACGCAGAATGACAAAAGCTTTAAAGGAATTTTAGAAACAGAAGAACAGAGAGAAGCACAGATTTTTGGTAGCAGCATTTTTCTCAGGTGTGCTCTGTTTTGCTAGCAACAAGCCGAGATTCACGTGGCTCGCTTACCGGAGTCTTCCTGACTTGGCATAAAAAACAAAACAAAAAAACAAAAAAAAAACCCAGCATGGTTGTTTTAAGAGACTCTGCTAACGATTGAAAGGTGTGTACGTACAGCTGGAAGTGGCAGCTTTTGCTGGATGTCAGCATGGACTGAGGCGGTAAGCTGGAGTCACGCTTACGCCCGCCATCTTGACGGAAAAACCGGCAGTTTAAAACAGCCGCGGTTTTACAGATAAGACACGTGGTCAGAAAAACATAAAGATTTACAGTAAAGTCAGACTTGGATGAAGAAAATCTCTAAAAGTTTACAGTGTGTTTAAAAATATACATGAGATTGAGAGAGAAAATGAAACGGCAAAGTGGTAAATAAATACAAAAGCTGGCGTTGTGGTGGCGCACGCCGGTAGGAATTGCTCCAGAGGCAGAGGCAGGCGGATTTCCAAAGAGAAACCCTGTCTCAGAGAAAAAGAAATAAAAGTGAAAGAAATAAAGTAATAATAATTAAATAAGCCACGTAAAGATGGAAAATACACAGAGAGTCTGGATACTGTATGCTATTGTGTTTTTCAGTTTTTTGATTGCTAAGGAAGGAACAGCTGCTAAAGTACACTTGATTATAAATGCTGCTGAATTAATCCAACTTCTATCTTTTGAAAATGCCTTAACCTCAAAATTTAAGTATAAGGATATGTTACTTGGAAAAGGAGAACTTGCTTATGTTTCTACAGAAAATGAAAAGCTGAGAATTCCTTCCAGGCTTCTGTGGTTTCACGAACCAAGACCCCCGGAAGCAGTGGATCAGGTGTTCCAACGACTGAGACAGCTAAGATGATACAGCTTTACAGACCCCGAAAATACGGACTTATACAGGTTTCTGAGTTTTGTCATTGTCCCCATGGTATAAACAGCGCCCCCTTCCAGCAGGAAGCAGTTTGGAATGAGCAACGGCCCAATTCCCATCTTGTTTATAAATCTTTGTTTTCATTTAAATGGGATTGTTTATAATTGGCTAATGATCACAGCCAATCTTTTTAATGGTAATAAAGGGAATTAGGGTATGGGTATTGTTTTTCATTTATTGATACAAATTCAAAGTCAATTTTGTGATAAGTATATTTCTCCTCTTGACTAAGTATTGTACTTATACTGTTCTTTTAAAATGTAATGCATAATTAAATACAGACAATAGATAGTTACTTATAATAGTTAGAATTTATAGTTAGGTAAGTTAGGTTTTCTAGATATACAAAAATATATTTGAGATGGACAGTCTTCAAACCTCTCAAAGACCTTCAGAACATGGCATTTAAAATGGTTTAGGGTTTTTCTTGACAATGAGAAATGTCTGCTCCTGGCAGCACCAATTACGTCTGAGAGGAAGATGGGCATCAAAGAAACTTATTATGGAGTTTGCTTTCAACATGGCAAGATTAGCCATTTGGGCAAGAACTGCTCTTGCCTGTACTTCTTGACTGTTGTTGTATAAACTGGACAAGCAGGACCCACAGGAAAGTGACTACTGAACTCAGTCTTACAGGGTTCCCGCTTCATGAAGAGTCTACGAGACTTTCTGCAGGACAAAGAAAATGACTTACAGACTGCCAATGCAGATGGACAGTTTGAAATTTCCTGCTTTGCTGAGAAATCTTCTGGACACATTGTGGCCTATGGGCTGAAGATGGATGCCCCAACGTTACAGAGGAACTTCGGGTGACTGTCCAGGCAGTAAGATATCTCTGTTAATCCTAGTGTTTATATATTATCCTTCTGTGGTCTTTGATGGAGTTGAAGGCAGATAGTTATAATTATAGTTTTCCTTAGTTATGATAAAAGATACATATAGAACTTTAGACTCACAAGGATGGGATGGATGATATTTTCTTTAAATCTTGCTAAAATATTGTAACTATGTTCTTACTTGATAACTGTTCTGTCATATACAATTTGACTATGTTAAAATTAAGACCTTTCTTTTGTTTAAACAGAAAAGAGGAGATGTTGGGGAAGTCCTGTTATTTGCCTGTGCATTTGTCAATAAAGTACTGTCTGGCCAATAGAAAACCTAGATAGGAGTGACTAGGAGTCGAGGAGGATTCTGGGAAGGGGAAACACAGGAGAGTCAACATGTGACACCATGGGGGTAGGACGCCGGGAACTATTCTCCGGTAAGAAACATACTTAGATTAACAATTATGGGGTAATTACTTAAGGCAGAGCTAGCCAGTAAGAGACAAACAAGGCCAACAGCTTCATAATTAATATAGCCTCCTGTGTGTTTATTTGGGACTCATGCGGATCTAGAACCAGGCTGGCGCGGCAGAGCCCAGGCGACTGGCGGGGGATAAACCAAAGCAGCTAGCAAAAGAAAAAGCTTCTCTTAACAAATCTTCTGAGAAGCTGTGTAAGGGCAGGACTAAAATTCTAACTCGAGTTCTAAGAGAAGAAACCACAGAAATCAGAAAGTTATACCCCATCATATGTAAATTCTGTCATATAAGATGATATTGTTTCATTTCTGTGGTGTCTATTTCATTGGCGAAGGGTGAAGGAGCACATCAAGTGTGAAGGAGAGTCTGTGGACAGGGATCTTGGAAGACATCCAAAGACCTACGAGGGTTAGCTGGAAAATGTAGCCCTGACCTCATTGGAATTCAGAAGTTGGTAAATATTTGTCATCTCCAACCTTAAGTTTCTGGATTAAAGGAGAACATAAAATGAAAAGCAGAGCCTAGAAATCATGCTGGTGACTGCACAGTGAGAGTTCTCCATATTTATGAATTCTCCAACAGTTAGAGTTATCTTAGAGTACTGTAAATACTGTCATCCTATTCACGGGCTTGTGAAAACCTGTCTAGAGCTTTGCAACCTGTGAATATTTAGCCTCAATTAATGCAAATAAGCCACATGCTCAGGGTGAAAATGTCCTTGCCTTTGCCAGCTCTACATCTTGTGTCTTATTAAGGACGTGATTCCGGGAGTGATATTGACAAATGCACCGTAACCCATTGTTCCCATGCATTGTGAGGACACCTCGCAGAAGGCTATGCTTTGACTCTGGTACATTAAAATGAGGGTGCTGGGTTTGCTAAGCTGACACAGTCAAAGTTATATTGAAGCCATGTTTCTTGTGGTGAGGAAACTGTGAAGACCTAATGCCCAAGGCTTAGGCTGCCTTCAGGTCTCCATGACAGTTAAATGAAGGTCTGTGCCTCCCTTGGGCTTTTTCCTTTACAGATGAAGGCCAAACAGAACCTCTCTGGACACACTTCAAATGAGGACACTTTCAAAATATCCACTCTACTGTTATAAGTTAATATTTATTCTTGATTGGCCAAGGGTCGAATGTTCATTGTATGGTTCTTAGGCTGCATTATATTATCTCATTCAGACATTGCAACAGTTCTGCCAGGTGCTCCTGTTGTCTCCATTTGAAAATTTTGCAAGGTTAAGTAGTTTGCCCCGGGTCACCTATAGAGGAAATGCCAGGGTCAATAATCAAACCTGCCTTCTGGCTCCAAAGCTTATTATGTCTTTGACCATCACACAGTCACACATCCTAAACTGAGTTTACAATTTGACCTATCTCACTAATTGAACTAATTAACCCTAGTTTATCTCTTCTCACCATAAACTCACCAAGGATGAGCAAGTCAAGAAAACCTCTGCTTTCAAAACTAATCCAGCCAAGTTGTCAGATGTGTTGTCTTGTGCTCCCTCCTCTTCCAGCATAAGTGCTCTCTTGCTTGGGACCTCTTTGCTATAGGCTGAGTCAATCTGCAAAGAGGACAACAAGAGGATTTTCTTCTAAGAGAATGACAGTAATATTTAAACATGGATGGGGCTGAAAGCTCCTGGTACACAGCTCAGTGGGAAAGCATTTGCCTAAACTCACACAGAGTAGAAAGGGTTGAAACCCATGAGTCCACACAAGTTGCGTGACAATTTATCTCACATTAGCTCTTATGTCAAAGTAATATATTTCACACATTTCAGTGTGGTGTACTGGTGTGTGTGTGTGTGTGTGTGTGTGTGTGTGTGTGTGTGTGTGTGCATGCTCACGTGTGTAGCTGCATGTGCACATTTGTATGCATAAGTGTGGAGTCCAGAGGTCAATGTCAGATGTGTTTCTCAATCTCTTCACACCTTATTTCTTGAAACAGGGTCTCTCATTGAACCTGGAGGTCACAGATTTAAGACATCACAGAAAAACCCCAGGGATTCTCCTGTCTTTACCTACAGCATTGGGATTGCACATGTTATTACATCTGGATTTTGATCTAGGTTCTGGGGTTGAATGCAGAACTTCATGTTGGTGTGGCAAGCACTCTACTGAGTTGTCTCCCAAGTCCTCACCTCCATTTTATAGCATCAAAGCTATGTTTATTGGTTCATCATACAGGGTCAGAGCACAGGGAAAGGAGAAAGAGAAGAAATTATAATTTTTCCTATCTCTAATGTTTTCAAAGCTGATGATGTCAGAGGTCAAGAAAGAGTTCACAACTTCGGCAAAGTATTTCTTGGAAAAAAAACCTTTACTGAGAAATAGTAAGACCATGTAGGAATTATACTAAGAGGAACAAGGAAGTCTGTGGCCAACAGGGGAGGATCAAACGGGAGGGGCAAATGTCTTATCCCATGCCCATATAACAGGATTATGTGCCTAAAATTTAAATCCTAGCACCGGAAGAAACTTCGTATTATCTAAGATTAAACTTTTCCACCTTCATGAAACCAGAGTTAGACTGAGTTTCAAAACTCCATCAGTTGTCTTCCTTGTACACTTAAGTAAGCTCCTGGGCTGAGTGAGATTCACACAACTGACAATGCTCACCATTGAATGCAGATCAATGGCACTCCCATGGCAGAGTTCTGTCTCGAAGGGACTCTAGGACAGGATAGCAAGGAAGGGGCTACAAACACCATGCCTGGGAGAGTTCTATACAGCCAAGGGAACTGACAGACTATGCTTCAATGCCAAGTCAGCTCAGATGAAAGAGCAGTTTGTCTCTCTACAGACGTCCCCCAGCAGGGAAGTCAACAATTTCGAAACACTTCTGAAGGAATGCTCCAAGATGTTACGTAAAGTTCAAAGGCAACTTATGGCCAGAGGCACAGTCCTCAGACCAAAGCTTCTCTTCAAATGTGTTTGGAGGTTTGTTTCCCTGAAAAGGAAAGTCATGGTAGTGTACCCCAGGAACTGGACACCATTGCTCATTTTGCTCTTAGCCAACAGATGAGAAAAGGGAGAGGTCCATGATTGTGCCCCCACTGAGTCCCTTTTGAATGCCAAATGTCCTGTTTCTTTGCTGCAGGTTGGAATCTAGCTTCATGCACGCGGGAGCTCAATGGATGCCTTGGAGACAGGGTGAGGAGAGGAAAGGCAAGAGAGGTGTGTCCTGCATTCATAAGCAGCTCTTGACCTTTCTTTCCAAACCCAAAACTCAGAAGAAAGCAATGCCTAGGCCCTTGTTATAAATGCTGTGTCTGGGAGTCTGCCCTAGTTTTTTTCTGTTGCTGTCATGAAATACCCCCAACAAAAGGCAACCTGAAGGAGAAATGGCTTACTTTACCTCACAATTGCAGGATACAATCCGTCACTGCAGGGAATCTACAGCAGTGGGAACTTGAGTCATCCAGTCACGCCATGCCTGGAGTCAAGAACAAAGAGAGATGTGTGTGCATGCTCACTTGCTTGTGCTCGACTCAACATCCCCACTCAGCATTTCTTAATCCCCTGCCTAGGGAGTGGTGTCACCCACACTGGCCTGGGTTTTCTCACGTCAGTTAACTTAATTAAGACAGTTCCTCACAGGCCATGCAATCATGAGGACCTAAGTCCAACACCCAGCACCTAAATAAAAATGCAGGTGTGGTGGTGTGCACAAGGAGACAGAAAAGCAGATCTCGGGGAATCACTGACCACCCAGCCCAACCTAATCAGTGAGCTCCGGACAGCGAGAGACCCTGTCTCTGAAAGCAAATAACAAACAAGGCGAATGACACCTGAGAAATGACCCCCGGGGTTGATCTCTACCCTCCATACAAGCACGCACGCACGCATACACACACACACACACACACACACACACACACACACACACACACACACGAATACAAAAGCAGCAAGCACATGCAGGCTTAAGACTCTAGCCTCCCTCTGGAGCCTTAAGCAATGTTGTATCTGGGCCCAAATGTAACATGAGGACGATGGTGACAATAGATAATTCAGTTCCCACTGTGGTTGTAAGGCTTAGATGATTCAAATGATTTCTAAACATACATAAAATATTGAGAATAGTGACAACTATATAAGGCCTAAAAACGTTAGCTACTGGTACTTTTTAACTAATTAGGAGTGTGTGTGTGTGTGTGTGTGTGTGTGTGTGTGTGTGTGTGTGTGTGTGAAGGTCAGAAGACAATTCTCCCCTTACACCATGTGGGTTTCAGGAATCGAATTCAGGTCATCAGGTCTGGCAGCAATACCTCCTCCTACCCTGCTAAGCCATATCTCTAGCTCTAGCCCCAGTTACCGGCATTTTTAAGAAGAAATTCCTTTAATGCTTTGGATGTCAGACAAAGGTGCTGAAATCATCTTGGAGACTCCTTCCCATTCTCCCTTCCCAGCTGAAGACATGAGGATGATTTAAAAACCCTCCGACAGGACCTGTGATAAGTGATGGGCCACCGAACAAGTTCTTGGGAAGAATGGAATAAATCAGTGTTTCCCAAACTTTCTCCATTCCAGAAGCATCCTCTGCACTTTTTTTTAACTATACCAATATACAACCCTTATGTGCTGTTTTTATTTAAATCAATATACAATGAACTTGACTTTTTACAAGTCACATCCTGAAGCCATAAATAATGTCTATAAAATCAGAAGTTCAATGCACTGGGTTATATTTCTTCCTATTGCACATTAAAGTAAAGCCATAACTATGAGAATAAATATGTTCACACATGCGTAAAAAGGTTGTGAGAGCTCTAGGCCATCTCTTGCTTCCTGTGTGAGCATTTTTTAGCTTCCAGCTACACTTAAAACTGCTTTGACACCAAATGTCTCCACAAATGACCTGTGCAAAATGGTTGCTTCCAGCCTATTCTGCTCAACTGAGGGCCATAGCCACCAAGTGACTTGCCCAAAGTAACCCATCTAGTGCTGGGCAGAGAGGATATCAGGCTCTGCCTGCTTCATGTTGTAAGTGGTAGGAGTGCCTTTGCTGTCCCTAAGGGCATGGAGATAGTAGCTATGCCTATGTCCCTATCCCCACCCTCCGTGCTTGGTAACTTTTGTCTTCTTGTTGTTTGATGCTAATTTTCTTTCTGATCTAACATGATTGATGACTTCATGGAGCAGAACTACATGGCTTTCATCTTTCAGTCTTTTGTGATGGGAGATGAAGTGGTGATTTTACTCAGCAACATTCTGCCTGTCACAAAGTGTCTTTCAAGGAATGAGCCACCCTCCATCTTCTTCACTGTTCAAAGCTACTTATAAAACATGGTGATGAGCAAATTCCAGTGGCAGCCTCCAGCCCATTGCCTTTTCTTTCCTATGTCTCCTTTCTTTGTGAATTATTTCTGATGATAATCTAGAAATCCATATGTAGTGTCACGAGAGAGCGTGTGATGTATGCAAATGTACTTTATGTATCCATGTATGTGCAGTGTGCATGCAGAAGCCATAAGAGGGCAATGGTATTGTCCTCCATCACTCTGCCTTACTCCTTTGAGGCAGGATCTCTCCATGACTCTGGTTCTTGAATTTTCCAGCTAGGCTGGAAACCATTGAGACGTGGTGATATTCCTGTCCCAGCACCCCCAAAGCACTGGGGTTACAGGCCTGTGTGACACCATGCCTACCTTGATATATGGGTGCTGGCATCAGAACTCAGGTCTTCAAGTACTCTTAACCACAGTCTTTCCAGTCCCTCTGGTGATTTGTGATAGCATTAATTGGTATACAAGGAATATGAACAAATTTACACTATCTCCTATGCTTCATGGTGGGCATGGTAACATCCCAGAATGCTACGTTATCTACATTCAGCTCCACCCATACCAGGCATGGGTGCTAGGTACTGCGAACTCACCAGAGTCAATGAGGTATAGAATGGTCTTGGCTAAAGAAGGACGTGCCTATTCCATAGGGTCACCCCACAAAAAAAATTTCATCTATGCTTTTCTAAACCCTGCATTCTCAATAGGACAATTTTGCCTAGAAGCAAAAAAATAATAATGATTCTTGGAAGCAAAAATATCTTACATTTCTGTGAGATGCACAAAACAAAGCACTCAGCTCATGTTTCATGCCTCTCATCGGGGAGGAATTTAATTTAACTTTAATTGATTTATGCAATTAATTCAATAATCTGGGAGATTTTTTAAGGAGGTAATAAAAGACAGGAAAGGCGTTGATAAATATTTATCTACACGAAGTAAAGCTTCAATGTATATGTCTGTCCTTGGTCCCAGAAATTTGGTTGCTATTATCTGCCTCAGAAAGAGCCCAAGAGACTAAAGAGAAACAAGCTTCTCATTGCACCATCACCTTGGTAATAAAACTGTCTAAGTATCCATCAACCAGGAACAGCTCAATAAAGTAGGAGGCATCTGTTTTGAGAAATTCACATAAGAAGCCTCCATACTGTTTTATTGGCTAGAAAAGGCCATGTGAAGAATACAGTGATTCCTTGAAATTGGAAGGGAATTGGCTCCAAGAGCCCTCAAAGATGGTCAAAATCCTTCATACAAAATGGTGCTTGAGGGGATGAGGAAATGATTCATGGTTACTCACTGCTCATTGGGAGAACCTGAGTTTGAATCCCCAGCACCCAAATACAGCCAGACCTGGTAGCACTCATCTATGATTCTGTTGCTCCTCCTGAGAGAAGGGGCAGAAGCAGGAGAATTCTGGGGAGGTCGAAGGCTAGTTATCCTGGAGTATGCATCAGAAAGCAGCAAGGGGAGGGTGAGGACCAACATCTACGGTTGTCCCTCCATGTGCATCATGACACATGCACACCTGCCCTCACATACATGAACATACAGGAACATGCACACACACATACATTAACATGCACTCGCACACAGATACATACAAAATTTAAAATAATAATTGTAGTTAAGTGGTACACTCACACCAAACATTCTTCTTCATGAATCATCTTTGGATAGCTTATTACAATTGACTCAATGTAAATGCTGTGTGTATTGTTTAGGATGTATAGTGACAAGAGTCTATACCCATTCAGTATGGGTGCTTTTTTTCCAAATTGTATTCTATCTGCAGTTGATTGAATCTGCAGATGCAAAACCTATGGCTACGGAGCATAGGTATAAATAAATATACATATATATGTATATACACACGTATGCATATATATCTGTGTTTACATATACATACATGTGCTTCTATGTACAGAAACATATATGTAATCAAACACACATATATATGATCACACTCGTATTAAAATAGACACATCCAGCTCTGTGGCCTTCTTTATGTGTGTGATCTACATGCAAACACAAAACAAGAGCTGTGGGAGCTAACACACCAACGTGACAGACACAGATAGATACCTGGGAACACGTTGAAGTCAGAGCTGTTCACGCATCTTGCATATGTTGCTTTTGTCTTTTCCTTCTTTTCTGCTCTGTGTGTGTGTGTTTGTGTGCACCTGTGTGTGCAGCTATGTGCGTGCCCATGTGCACATCTGTGTGGGGGTCAGAGGTCAATCTCAGGGCTTTTCTCAGAACGCCATCCACCTCTCTTTTGGGGGACAAGGCCTATTATCGGGACCTGGGACTCACTGAGTAGGCCAGGCTGGCAAGCTGTCCCCATCTCAGCACTGGAATTGCAAGTGTGTGCCACCACGCCAGGCTTTATGTGTGGGTTCTGGGAACTGAATTCAGGTCCTCCTGCTTGCAAACCAAGAACTTTACTGGCTGATCTATCTGCCAAGAATGAGTTATGAATAAATCATATAAGTAGGAATAATAAATATATTAAAAAGAACCCCTATCTCATTCATTCCAGATTACGGACTATTTTCTCATCTGAAGAAAGATTTATTCAGCCCTGTAGAAAAGATCTGTCACCAGATTTCTAATAAAACTAGAAATCAAAAGCCTATGTGTGCTTCAGGCAGATTAAAGTTGTATCTCTTTATCAAATTATAGAAAATACATAAAGATGTGCCAAGTCTTTGAAGAAATAATTCCCTAAGGTTTGACATTTTAAAAGAATCACAAACTAAAGAAAGATGGGTTTTCCTAATGAAAAAAGAAACTCTGGTGACCCTTCCTTCTCGAAGGAGGGTTTGGCAAGTGTGTATCTAACGTAAGTGAGGCCTGCCCATCAGCAGCCAAGGTCCTAGGAGTCACACAAAGATGCCTATTGCCAACTACTTGCAACTGAGAGAAGACAGAAATCATTTAATAAACCAATACGGAGTCATTGGCCAAACAATCATAATTTAGTATATTAGCTTTGGTGTGATTATTTCATAAGAGGCTGTGAGGACCCAGCAGGCAGGAGAAAAATTGATCCAGTGAGACAGAGAAAAAACATTCAACTATGGCCTATGTTCATTGTCATCAGGAGGAAAATATCCAGATGACATTATTCTACATCAAAAACTTCATTAG